TCAGAGTGTGAGGTACATGTAAAATATTTGTGTTTTGTCTCACAAAATAAGCAGTGTTTAGGAACAAAGAGTGTCAGGTTTTACAGGATTTCGTTTTTAGACTTGTATTGATAGACCTTCACTACATTATTCCTTTGGCTTTCAAACTGACAAAACCAAGTAACTTTCTGTATTTGTAAAACTGTCACAAACAGAATCTCTAAACCCTTCTAAAACATGTCTTTGATTAAAAGTTTACATGAAAGAAAATTTAGGAAGAAAAGCTAATTACAATGTTCTTGGATATTGACCATAAAAGAATTTCAATGATGGACAATATAGGGTTACAATGCATTGTTTTCTATTTGTGATTTTTTTCCCTAATTTGTTAAACAAATTGACGTAAAATCCTCCTTCAGATTGATAGAGCTTCCATAATTGTATCCATGTTGGAATGATGACTGGTTACCTCATTCGACTAATTCAAACAAATCAGTTTGATTTTTTATCATTTTGCCAAGTTCAAATGATTCATTAGCCATTAAAGTTTTGTTAGCGTCATTAGTGCCATCTGTTTTCTGTCAATAAAAGATGGATTTAATTCTAACTGCTATTGTGTAGGATAATTTATTTCTATCAATGAATGGTGGATATTCTATGATCATTTGGTAATAGTTTCAAGGGAAGGGAATTATAACAATATTTCCCAAAATAATTGCATATTTTTCATTTTCTATTAAAAAAAGAAATAAAGTGTTATTATTATTATGATTCAAAAACAGGCAGTCTACATATTGTTGAGTTCTTTCTTATGATCGAAATAGATATACTTGTAATTGTTGAGTTTATTGGGGCATTTCTTTTAAGAAAATGAAGATTTGGTAATATATATCATGATAATTTCTCAAGCAAAATCGCACAGGTACCTTAAAATTAGGACCACATCCAAAGAAAATATCAACTTTACTTACTAATATAGTGCAAATATGGTTTCCTCTTGTTATATTTCAACATTTTTATATATTTAGTTACAAGAATGCATCAGAAGTGATCTATGTGACTTTGTTATAATAAACTAAGTTGATGGTTTGTGTAATGGCCATATATTGTTCCGCCCCAGAGCTACTTTTCTCGGCATTACTCTAGATGACCCATGTATGATTATCATAACTTCACCAAAACTGGGTCATGTGTTAAGTACTTGAATATCTCTGAAAATTTCATATTTTTAAGCTTTTTCCTCAAGGTCATTGTAACTATAAATAGAATTTTTCATCATCACCCTAGAAGGCTCATTGATTATCAAAATCATTATAGTATCTCAGCTAAATTAATGTTTGCTGACCAAAGGTCAAGGTCACTGTTGAGTAGATAACTTCCCAATAATGATTGTTATGGTCCAGTATTATACACTTAAATCTTTATCATATTGTGTTAGACCTGTAATTCATGGATTATCGTCTCTTCAACACTCACTGATACTAATACCTTACAAATGTAACCAGTAACAAACCGCAAGCGATACATTAACCTCATACTAAGTATGTTGTAGACCTAGCTCTCATTGGAAGGTAGGTATTGTGGGCTTTGCTCACTTTCTAGATAGTTTAGATATATTCAGAAGGCATTTAAATGTCAAATTCTACAACGCTCTGATTGTCGAGCCAAGGCAGTGGGTTGGAGTTATTATGGTAGCATCAGATTGGATGAAATTACTTTCAGTTCAATTTAAAATTTGATGTAGGCTTGGGCATTTTGTTTGTCATAAAATGAAAGTTCATTGCAGATACAAAACAATTATTTTGTACTTGAGGTTTTCCATCACTGACTGCTATAGCCTGAATGGAGTGCTGAAACCATGATCAATCTCGTACACCTAACCTTACACGATATCAGTGTAAACAGAGCTAACTGTGATCGGCCACTAATTGAGTGCACAATTATACAGAATCACAGTGCATGGAGTAGAAGTATTTAATAAAAGCAAGCCTTGATCAAAATAGTTTTTGAAAATACAAATATGCTGGTTTGTGAATTTGTGAAATTGTGTGTCTTAATTAATTCAGATGTGTGGTTTCTAGTGTCAGTAACAGCTTAATAACAACTTAACAGGTATTGATAGTGGCATCAAATTAAAACCAGGGTTAACAGATAGGATAAATATGTGACATTGTTTCTGAATTATAACTTGTGAGTTTTAGTCACCATTATACTGGGGTGTGTCATCCATCTATCGTTCATCATGCTTTAACTTCAAAAGACTTATTCTTTAAAACCAAAAGGTCCAGATTCGTGATATTTTGCCAGTAGGTAAAGTGGATGGAGTGCTGTTAAGTTTCCTCATATAAATGACCTTAACCTACTTTTAAAGTCACAATGGTCCTTTGGTTATAGCTGCAAATCGTTGAGGTCCCCATTGTATAACCTATACATGTATGTTGTTGCTTGATATGAAACCCCAAAAATATCATTAGCCCAGGGGAAGGCCCCAGATGACCCCTAACTAGCAGTTATTCCCATGATCCTGACGAGGAAAACATTGAGATTTCCACCCGATGTGGTTCACCTGTATTAAAGTTAGTTAACATGTAAATGTGACAATTCGGATTTCGTAAGATGACTGGGCTGCTGGGTAATTTTCTATTCTATGAGTAAGGTTCTTAGTAAGTTTGCTTGTTTGTGCACCTTTTAAGATGACTGGGCTGCTGGGTAATTTTCTATTCTATTAGTAAGGTTCTTAGTAAGTTTGCTTGTTTGTGCCCCTTTTAAGATGACTGGGCTGCTGGGTAATTTTCTATTCTATGAGTAAGGTTCTTAGTAAGTTTGCTTGTTTGTGCTCCTTTTAAGATGACTGGCCTGCTGGGTAATTTTCTATTCTATGAGTATAAAAGTTCTTAGTAAGTTTGCTTGTTTGTGCACCTTTTAAGATGACTGGGCTGCTGGGTAATTTTCTATTCTATGAGTAAGATTCCTACATAGTTTTCTTGTTTGTGCACTACTGTTGTAGAATCTATATTCCCAACACTATCTGTCCAGTAAATCAATGTCTGGTTGATTTGGCTGGATTAGAAGTCCCTCAAATGGTAAGTGGTAAGGAGGCTGATGTCCTTAGGTCAGTAGTTCCTCAACACACAGACACACTGCTAAATGAATTGACCAAATATTCCAGACATATTCTTTATATCAGATAAAAAATGATTTATTTTGCCGGCACTGCCATTTTTTGTGGTCATCTATATGTTAATGTTTTAGGTTTGTCACAAATATTTGTGCTACGTAGGGATGCCACTTAGAAACTTGGGAAAGCTTGGTGAGCTACAGAGTATTTGAGTCACTGTTGTGATCAAATAACACCTAACATCTTGGCTGACAAGAGTGATTAAATATAAGTTGTGATAACTTGTTTCGCAGTTGTTGCTTATATTTAAGTTGTGTTTTCTTAAACCAATTAACAGCTGATGTAAAAATGATGCTTCATTCTAATATTGTTATACATTGTTTCACTATTTAGGTTGTACTTTTCAAAGGTTATCCTTAAGTTCACTGGACCTCAAATAATTTATCAGACGTTTGATGTTTGGTTAAAGTTTACTTGGATATAATCTTTTTAAATGGTCTCAAAACTCTCAATTTATTAAGTTTATCTTTTTATCATGAGGATCTTACACATGACAGCCAGGTCCTGTACCAAGATTATAAACTACACTAGTCTGAGTGACACAGATCGTGCTGCTGCTGCTGATGGCCATGGCCGTACCTGTACTGAGTTCTATAGGAATTACAGTCAGGTGTTAATTGGATTATAAGCCTCCTGCTGTCTTTAGTTCAGGTACATCTTACTGTCGACATTACTGCTCGAGTAGATTAACTACCACGATAAATCTACAGGTATGAGATGATTGTTGGGATAACAACCATTTTTGTGGCTCTATAAATCCATTATTTATGCTTTGGGATCGTGATGTGGATCTTAAGTTGGATTTAATACCGTCGTCATCTGATGATGTTCCTCAGGAACAATCTCGTCTAATCTACTTATAAAATGTCTGACAGTGTGTTTAATGACAGTCGGCAGGTACATTGATTATATAACGAGATCATAAATCTCAACGGCTGCTGATGAAAAAAACCCACGCAGATTTATTTACCTTGCCTCATTCGAGTAAATCCCCGGTTTATATATATACTGTGTGAAAGTAATGTTGTTAAAAGATAGAAAACATTCAGAAGTGTGTACGATGATATTATTAGGCCATGCATGTTCATGATCAAATTTTCAACCACTATTGAGGTTGATACAATTATTTATCAACCTCACGACTTTTATATTTCCCATTGAAAAAGTCCAGGACACTTGACATACAATATCTAAAGACTTTCGACTGTATGAGCTCACTTGCCCTTTCTGTAGTGTGGAAATATTTTGATTTCTCTAAAACTTCCCGCCTGAAAATGATGACAGTGTCTATAAAGTTAACCTTTACTGTATTGAGAATAAAAACACTTAGAAAGTTAAAACAGAGATTGATAGAAATACCCTACGTGTGTGCAAACTCTGTCCTGGCACTAGGAAAGAAATAATTGTTCAGAAAACAGGAGGTTACAATTGGAAATGAAATATGAAATAGCTGAAAGTATCATCTAAAATACTGAAATGTTCTTATCTATAAAATATTATTTCATTTTAGATATTGGGAAACTTTGAAGAAAGATTTTAGAAAAAAACAACACAATTTCCCATTGGGAATGAGGCAAGGCAAACTTTTGACCCAAAATGGCTGCAGAAAAAGCCTGGGGAAATCACCATGAATTGCAGAAAAATGTTACAAATTAAATGACTGTTTCTAAATGACTGTATATCAACCCAGATTGACCATTGACCTTCATAAAGCCCACAGGCCTTCAGCCTTTTTGCTTGATATAGATTGCCAAGGCCAGTCTTGGACCTGAAATGAATTTGATTTTAATATAAACATTTTTCGCTTGTCTTCCAACCAGCTGTCTGTCTTTGACTGTTTCAGATCCTGTCCATATTTGCCTTTGCCACAACTACAAGTGTCAACACGCAGCTTAGTTTTTATGCACAATGTCCTGCCAATCTGACCATGGTGAGACAGGCGACCGCGGTGTCCTATCCCTTCAGGTAAGTGAATGCGTTAGGGCTTATACATACATGTGGGTAGGTAGTAGGGCTTAAATTATACATACATGTGGGAAGGTAGTAGGGCTAATACCTACATGTGGGTAGGTAGTAAGGCTTTAATTATACATACATGTGGGGAGGTAGTAGGGCTTATACATACATGAGGGTAGGTAGTAGGGCTTAAATTATACATACATGTGGGTAGGTAGTAGGGCTTATACATACATGTGGGTAGGTAGTAGGGCTAATACATATATGTGGGAAGGTAGAAAGAGTGAGTGATTCCTACCCTACATACATGTGGGTAGGTAGAAAGAGTGAGTGATTCCTTCCCTACATACATGTGGGTAGGTAGAAAGAGCAAGTGATTCCTACCCTTCATACATGTGGGTAGGTAGAAAGAGTGAGTGATTCCTTCCCTTCATACATGTGGGTAGGTAGAAAGAGTGAGTGATTGCTACCCTACATACATGTGGGTAGGTAGAAAGAGTGATTGATTCCTTCCCTGCATACATGTGGGTAGGTAGAAAGAGCGAGTGATTCCTACCCTACATACATGTGGGTAGGTAGAAAGAGTGAGTGATTGCTACCCTTCATACATGTGGGTAGGTAGAAAGAGTGAGTGATTCCTTCCCTACATACATGTGGGTAGGTAGAAAGAGTGAGTGATTCCTTCCCTTCATACATGTGGGTAGGTAGAAAGAGCGAGTGATTTCTACCCTACTTCAACAAAACCCACTGGAGCAATCAAGAGCACAAACATAGACACGCAGAAACAGAAAAGGAAATTACAGATATGGCTGTGGCTTAGTAGAGAGTGCTTTATACACTGATGACAGTAAATAAAACAGTACATATACATTTAATACTTTTGTATAATACAAATTGTGTTTGCTGCAGCATCCATCTATTTTCTTGAAAGACCTAAAATGGCCATACACACTACGACAAAATTTGGTATAAAGCACCCCTGGTTTAAAGGAAATCTATGTTATATAAACTAAGAATAACACATGTTGGAGGAGTGGGACAGAGGGTGAAAGAAAATAGGGCTAAATGTTTAACAGAAACCTTCTTCATTATGTGTATGTATTTGGTATAAAGCATCTCTGTGCCGAGTGGATTTGATGTTATACATGTATCAGTAACGAATGTAACCTCCCTAGGTGCTAATGGACCATATTCAGAAGGACTAAATTTTGAAAAAAAACTGTTCCTTCTTTGTCTGTAGAGGGATTTGAACCATTTTGACGCAAGGGTTTCCTGAGCCAAAGGATCGAATCAACATTTTAATATTGTATAAATGAAAATGTGGCCTCTGGGTGCAGCAGGGTAGAAGCCAATAAAAGAAATAGGAGTAAATCTGTAAAAAAACACATCAATAAGTAATTGCCAGATATCAAACCTGCATTGCACTCTCTTGATGTACATGTATCTGTTCTGTTTTTGACTTAATAAAGACAAGATGAGCTTTTCAGCCCTTTGGCCCTTTTATTTCATAGCCCTCGCACAGAACAACACATTTATCTATCTAACTGATAATAAACCAACACTATTTGGTGACAAACGCTGATGGCATTTTCATACTCTTTTGAAACAAGAATTGTTCTTTAAAAAGCCTTTATTACTGTTTTTGGAATGGAAAATTTTAATCTTTCCTTAGGGTGGCATTTGTCTTTCCTTGGTAATCAGGAAAAATGTGTTTCTCTAGTGAATTAGGTGAATTACCCTTCCTTTAGCTGGCACAAATGACAAATTTAATCTTGCCGCATGATCATTAATAAGTTCGTACATGGAGTTGAAAACCTGCAAATTCATGAAGTTGTTCAACATTTGTTGCTTTCTCAATAACAGTTATTTTATGAATTTCTTATAATATATTGAATTTACCAATTTTGCACTTATCTTGTACACCGAAGTATAATCCTCAATGTGATTTTTGGATTCAAAAAGAATCCTTGTATGTTTCTCCAAACATTTTTTAAGAAGAGAGAAAAAAGAGAAATTCTAGTAGAAAGGGGGCTAAAATGGGAAAAAAACAAAGAATAAGGTTGTACATCACACAATCAGACATTCTCCAAATAAACACAGACTGAAAATAATTCTTTATGAAGAAAATTGTAAAAACTTAGATTATTGCTTGTACAATGTATTTGTTTTAGAAAATATATTGGTCTACCATTTAAACATTTCGGAAAGGTATCAAATGTTGAGAAAATCATTACAATGTATTTGTAGAATCAATATGTTTGTAGACCTTGGAAAATGTATGTTAGGAACCAGTAAGTCCTGGACCTTTGTGATACAGAATGTTTGGGGAATCAATGTGTGTCTGGACCTTTGTGATACAGAATGTTTGGGGAATCAATGTGTCTCTGGACCTTTGTGAGACAGAATGTTTTGGGAATCAGTGTGTCTCTGGACCTTTGTGATACAGAATGTTTGGAGAATCTTTTTTTCTCTAGACCTTTATGATACAGAATGTTTGGGGAACCAGTATGTATCTGGACATTTGTGATACGGAATGTTTAGGGAATCAATGTGTCTCTGGACCTTTGTCATACAGAATGTTTGGGGAACCAGTATGTATCTGGACATTTGTGATACGGAATGTTTTGGGAATCAATGTGTCTCTGGACCTTTGTGATACAGAATGTTTGGGGAATCAATGTGTCTCTGGACCTTTGTGATACACAATGTTTGGGGAATCAATGTGTCTCTGGACCTTTGTGATACAGAATGTTTGGGGAATCAATGTGTCTCTGGACCTTTGTGATACACAATGTTTGGGGAATCAATGTGTCTCTGGACCTTTGTGATACAGAATGTTTGGGGAATCAATGTGTCTCTGGACCTTTGTGATACACAATGTTTGGGGAATCAATGTGTCTCTGGACCTTTGGGATACAGAATGTTTGGGGAATCAATGTGTCTCTGGACCTTTGTGATACAGAATGTTTGGGGAATCAATGTGTCTCTGGACCTTTGTGATACACAATGTTTGGGGAATCAATGTGTCTCTGGACCTTTGTGATACAGAATGTTTGGGGAATCAATGTGTCTCTGGACCTTTGTGATACAGAATGTTTGGGGAATCAATGTGTCTCTGGACCTTTGTGATACACAATGTTTGGGGAATCAATGTGTCTCTGGACCTTTGTGATACACAATGTTTGGGGAATCAATGTGTCTCTGGACCTTTGTGATACACAATGTTTGGGGAATCAATGTGTCTCTGGACCTTTGTGATACACAATCAATGTGTCTCTGGACCTTTGTGATACACAATCAATGTGTCTCTGGACCTTTGGGATACAGAGTACAGGAACTTCTGTGTATAGCAATCACCTGAAAAGTCTCCATGTCAGTGTTGTTCTGTTTTAAAGGTCAGCCTTCTAATTTCTATTCCTGATCATATGCCTGCCGTGAATTCCAGAGGGAAATCCATGTTCCCAATTAGGTGTTTTTGCCTGATTTAGGGCAGAGACCTAACTGTACAGATATGTGAGAGGAATTTGTACATCACCTCTGTCATGTAATCAGTCGTGGGTATAGTCGCCCCTTACTCTGTTAATCATCACTTCCTGTCAAGACATTCCGCCAAATCATTCTGGTTAAATAGTCATTTATACTGACCACCTGATTTGTTCCGGCAGAGCCTATAATGTGATCAGCTTCTGCAGTGTTGGCACCAGCTCTGTACACCGACACTGATTAAGGCATCTTATGATAACCCCACAGGAGCTTTGTGGAAGCCATATTGTTTTACCTTGGTAACCTGCCTGTCTCTCTCCCACTCATATATCAATTTCCTGTAACAGTTAAAATTATATCAGCATTATGTACATCGCAAGTATTATGTGGAACATGGCAATTCAGATGTGTTCAAATGGTGGTACTGAGTACCTAGGGGTCCAATTAGCGACAGTATGTGAGAATAATAGGACATCCCATAAGAACCGTTAGCATACTTTTTAGAAAACGTAATCAAAATCTAATTAAAACCCTCGTAAAAAGGATAGTGTGACATTAAAATTGATCATAAACATTTCACAGATGCTTTATGTATGAAGTGTTGGTTTGAGTCAAAAGGAAAGGTCAAACGACAAGATATACGCGTAGTCTGTTTGAAAGTTCTGTCAGAAAAGATAATATTTTATTAACTCATCAGGTATGAAGTACTAGATTGAGCTGATGTGGTAGTTCTCTGTCCATCATTCATCAGTCAACTTTTGCTTTAAACATTATACTTAGCCCATCATGATTTAAAGCTATAAATGTAGGGCCTTACTTAAAAAAGGGTGGGTGGGTAAATTGGTTAACTGCTTCAAATTACATTTACTCCCAAACTACTAAACCAAATTCAACTAAGATCTAGAAGCAGCATATATATACTAAGCCATAGATATTGGAAGTTATGCAAATAAAGATGCTTATCCACTTTTGGGCTCTTTCCCAAACTACAGGTCGGATTTCAACTTCATATCCAAAATAGCAGGGTGAGCAATTCAAGGTCCTTTGGCCTCTCTTTCAATTTGACTTGGAATGGTTACAATCTTTATTATATCTTATTGACTTGTTACAGGATAGAGGATCAGACCTATCAGATGCCCCTGTGTCAAAACAAGACCAAACCGATAGATGTTACATTCGCTCCTTATGTGGGAGGCTCAGCCTCATCAGCGGAGTTCTACGTCTTCGTCGGTGTCATTGTATTCCTCTACTGCATGGCCGCTCTCATCCTTTACATCTTCTTTGATGAACAGTACCGCAAGAACAACCTCTACTCCATTGGGGTAAGTTTTAAGTCAGCATGGAACAGTGTTTCAGTTTACCGGGTATCCCAACAGTTGGACCAGTTGGGCCAGTTGGACCAGAAATTATTCATCAACAGTAAAAAAGACAGACAAAATGGTCAATGATTGTACTTTAAGTAAGCCTTTCCAAAGCTGGTCAATGACTGTACTTTAAGTAAGCCTTTCCAAAGATGGTCAATGACTGTACTTTAAGTAAGCCTTTCCAAAGATGGTCAATGACTGTACTTTAAGTAAGCCTTTCCAAAGCTGGTCAATGATTGTACTTTAAGTAAGCCTTTCCAAAAATGTTCAATGACTGTACTTTAAGTAAGCCTTCCCAAAAAAGGTCAATGACTGTACTTTAAGTAAGCCTTTCCAAAAATGTTCAGTGACTGTACTTTAAGTAAGCCTTTCCAAAGCTGGTCAATGATTGTACTTTAAGGAAGCCTTTCCAAAAATGTTCAATGACTGTACTTTAAGTAAGCCTTTCCAAAAATGTTCAGTGACTGTACTTTAAGTAAGCCTTTCCAAAGCTGGTCAATGACTGCACTTTAAGTAAGCCTTTCCGAAGATGGTCAATGACTGTTCTTTAAGTAAGCCTTTCCAAAAATGTTCAGTGACTGTACTTTAAGTAAGCCTTTCCAAAAATGTTCAATGATTGTTCTTGAAGTAAGCCTTTCCAAAGATGGTCAATGACTGAACTTGAAGTAAGCCTTTCCAAAGATGGTCAATGACTGAACTTGAAGTAAGCCTTTCCAAAGATGGTCAATGACTGTTCTTTAAGCAAGCCTTTCCAAAGATGGTCAATGACTGTTCTTTAAGCAAGCCTTTCCAAAGATGGTCAATGACTGTTCTTTAAGCAAGCCTTTCCAAAGATGGTCAATGACTGTTCTTTAAGTAAGCCTTTCCAAAGATGGGCAATGACTGTTCTTTAAGTAAGCCTTTCCAAAGATGGGCAATGACTGTTCTTTAAGTAAGCCTTTCCAAAGATGGGCAATGACTGTTCTTTAAGTAAGCCTTTCCAAAGATGGTCAATGACTGTTCTTTAAGTAAGCCTTTCCAAAGATGGTCAAGGATTGTACTTTAAGTAAGCCTTTCCAAAGCTGGTCAATGATTGTACTTTAAGGAAGCCTTTCCAAAAATGTTCAATGACTGTACTTTAAGTAAGCCTTTCCAAAGCTGGTCGATGACTGTACTTTAAGGAAGCCTTTCCGAAGATGGTCAATGATTGTACTTGAAGTAAGCCTTTCCAAAAATGGTCAATGATTGTACTTTAAGTAAGCCTTTCCAAAAACGGTCAATGACTGTACTTTAAGTAAGCCTTTCCAAAAATGTTTAATGACTGTACTTTAAGTAAGCCTTCCCAAAAAAGGTCAATGACTGTACTTTAAGTAAGCCTTTCCAAAGCTGGTCAATGACTGCACTTTAAGTAAGCCTTTCCAAAGACCTTTGAGTAATACTTTTTCTATATATGGCTCCACATTAATGAGACGAAACGATTTATCATTTTGATATCCTATATTCTGTTTTCTAAATTTTCTCAAATTAGATACTGACCAGCTCCTACTTTAAGTAAGCCTTTCCAAAAATGTTCAGTGACTGTACTTTAAGTAAGCCTTTCCAAAGCTGGTCAATGACTGCACTTTAAGTAAGCCTTTCCAAAGACCTTTGAGTAATACTTTTTCTATATATGGCTCAACATTAATGAGACGAAACGATTTATCATTTTGATATCCTATATTCTGTTTTCTAAATTTTCTCAAATTAGATACTGACCAGCTCCTACTTTAAGTAAGCCTTTCCAAAAATGTTCAATGACTGTACTTTAAGTAAGCCTTTCCAAAGCTGGTCAATGACTGCACTTTAAGTAAGCCTTTCCGAAGATGGTCAATGACTGTTCTTTAAGTAAGCCTTTCCAAAGATGGGCAATGACTGTTCTTTAAGTAAGCCTTTCCAAAGATGGGCAATGACTGTTCTTTAAGTAAGCCTTTCCAAAGATGGTCAATGACTGTTCTTTAAGCAAGCCTTTCCAAAGATGGTCAATGACTGTTCTTTAAGTAAGCCTTTCCAAAGATGGTCAATGACTGTTCTTTAAGCAAGCCTTTCCAAAGATGGTCAATGACTGTTCTTTAAGCAAGCCTTTCCAAAGATGGTCAATGACTGTTCTTTAAGCAAGCCTTTCCAAAGATGGTCAATGACTGTTCTTTAAGCAAGCCTTTCCAAAGATGGTCAATGACTGTTCTTTAAGCAAGCCTTTCCAAAGATGGTCAATGACTGTTCTTTAATTAAGCCTTTCCAAAGATGGTCGATGAGTGTACTTGAAGTAAGCCTTTCCAAAGATGGTCAATGACTGTTCTTTAAGTAAGCCTTTCCAAAAATGTTCAGTGACTGTACTTTAAGTAAGCCTTTCCAAAAATGGACAATGATTGTACTTTAAGTAAGCCTTTCCAAAGCTGGTCAATGACTGCACTTTAAGTAAGCCTTTCCAAAGACCTTTGAGTAATACTTTTTCTATATATGGCTCCACATTAATGAGACGAAGCGATTTATCATTTTGATATCCTATATTCTGTTTTCTAAATTTTCTCAAATTAGATACTGACCAGCTCCTACTTTAAGTAAGCCTTTCCAAAAATGTTCAGTGACTGTACTTTAAGTAAGCCTTTCCAAAGACCTTTGAGTAATACTTTTTCTATATATGGCTCAACATTAATGAGACGAAACGATTTATCATTTTGATATCCTATATTCTGTTTTCTAAATTTTCTCAAATTAGATACTGACCAGCTCCTACTTTAAGTAAGCCTTTCCAAAAATGTTCAATGACCGTACTTTAAGTAACCCTTTCCAAAAATGGTCAATGATTGTACTTTAAGTAAGCCTTTCCAAAGATGGTCAATGACTGTTCTTTAATTAAGCCTTTCCAAAGATGGTCGATGAGTGTACTTGAAGTAAGCCTTTCCAAAGATGGTCAATGACTGTTCTTTAAGTAAGCCTTTCCAAAGATGGTCAAGGATTGTACTTTAAGTAAGCCTTTCCAAAAATGTTCAGTGACTGTACTTTAAGTAAGCCTTTCCAAAGACCTTTGAGTAATACTTTTTCTATATATGGCTCCACATTAATGAGACGAAGCGATTTATCATTTTGATATCCTATATTCTGTTTTCTAAATTTTCTCAAATTAGATACTGACCAGCTCCTACTTTAAGTAAGCCTTTCCAAAAATGTTCAATGATTGTTCTTGAAGTAAGCCTTTCCAAAGATGGTCAATGACTGTTCTTTAAGCAAGCCTTTCCAAAGATGGTCAATGACTGTTCTTTAAGCAAGCCTTTCCAAAGATGGTCAATGACTGTTCTTTAAGTAAGCCTTTCCAAAGATGGTCAAGGATTGTACTTTAAGTAAGCCTTTCCAAAGCTGGTCAATGATTGTACTTTAAGTAAGCCTTTCCAACAATGGTCAATGACTGTACTTTAAGTAAGCCTTGCCAAAGATGGTCAATGACTGTACTTGAAGTAAGCCTTTCCAAAAATGGTCAATGACTGTACTTTAAGTAAGCCTTTCCAAAGACCTTTGAGTAATACTTTTTCTATATATGGCTCCACATTAATGAGACGAAACGATTTATCATTTTGATATCCTATATTCTGGTTTCTAAATTTTCTCAAATTAGATACTGACCAGCTCCTTTGCTTTTACAGGATTTTGTAGTTTCCTGTGTATTGACTGCCCTCTGGCTGATTTCCTCCGCTGCCTGGGCTCAAGGATTGGTCAATCTCAAATATGACACTGACCTGGGAGATAGTGACCTGTACCGCAGGATTCCGGATTGTGTATATGGCTGTGTTCAGGATGGCATGCCCAACTATGCCAGCCTGAATGTATCTATTGTATGTATATTTATCTTAACAATACAAAAGTATTAGTCTTTTGATATTCTGTCGCTCTGTTATGAATGAATACTAGTGATTTCACATTTTTCACATTTGGTTCAATGACAAGGGTACACACAGTGTATTTGATTAGGACAAGAGTGGAAGGGTGTCCAAATGGTAATGGAAATTTCCAAAATATTTTAGTCAAGTACGGAACATTGGATATATGGACTAGCAAAACTCTCTGCAGAAACAAAGGGACATTATGACATTTAATCAATGCTGATCATAGTAGAAAATTCTGAGAAAGTTAGTTCCCATTTTTGGTTAGCTTTGTTTGTGAGGGGTCCTTTCAACCCGAAACAAACAAACAAAACTAACCAAAAAAGGGAACAATGGTTTTGTAATTTTGAGCTGGAGTTTTTCACGTTGCAGTCCTATCAACTTCAAGATTAATAAAAAAATATATACATTGATCTACTTGTCTAAATCTTTAATGGCATTCCTACAGAATACATAAAGGAGCTTTAACTGAATTAGATGTTAAAGATCCTTGGGTCAAGGGAAATCCACGTTGTGCGAGTTGAAAGTGATCTATATAAAAAAGGTTTATTATATTTAAACCTGAAAATTCAATGTAAATTAATAAACATTTTCAGCAAAGGTGTACAGTGTTACATATAACAGAATATACCCGGTAGGCATACAATGTAATTATTCCACATCAATATTAATGCAGTGAATACAGTATATCATGTATAGATAAAGTCAAGATTTTTGTGTAGACATTGGTTCAGGGGACACAACTCTTATACACATTTAAAACCATCAAGTTGTTACATCTTTTGGTAAAAGTTTTGACATAAGTTTCTAGATGGTATGTAAGTAACAGGAACAATGATTCCCTTAAAAGGGTCAACAGCTGAATACACAATGGCATTGAACATGTCAATAGATTGATGATGATTGATTATTAGGGGCCCGTATCGGAGATACAGGTGCCCTATAGTAATCACTCTGTCTGTCTGTCCGTCCACAAATTTTGTTCTTGGCTGATAACTTTGGTATTTATTGACCATTGTACATGAAACTTGGTCAAGATGTTCAGTTCACAAAAATACACATTGAGATAAAAAGTCAAGGTCATCAGGTTCAAAGGTCAAGGTCAAATTTTACATATTTTCACTGATAAACATTTTGTTATGACGTTATGAAGCAAAGTTGATTAGAATTGAACAAGGAGTCAATTGACCAAAGGTCAATGTCATCGGGTCAGGGGTCAAGGTCAAATTTTGTAGCTTTTCACTGGTGAACATTTCGCTATGACATTATGAAGCAAAGTTGTTCGGAATTAAACAAAGAGACACGACGAGTTAAAAAGTCGAGGTCAAAGGTCAAGGTCATTAGATTCAAAAGTCAAGGTCAAATTTTGCATCTTTTCACTGATGAACATTTTGTTATGACATGAAGCAAAGTTGATCAGAATTAAACAAGGAGTCAACTGACCAAAGGTCAGGGTCATTGGGTCAAAGGTCAAGGTTAAATTTTGTATCTTTTCACTGGTGAACATTTCGCTATGACACTTTGAAGCAATGTTACTAAGAATTAAACAAGGAGTCAATTGACCAAAGGTCAAGGTCACTGGGTCAAAGGTGAAGGTTAATTTTTGTACCTTTTCCCTGATGAACATTTTGTTATGACATTATGAAGCAATGTTATTCAGAACTTAACACAGAGTCAACTGACCTTAGGTCTAGGTTACGGGGTCCAAAGTGTCAAGGTCAATTTTTGTATTTTTCACTGATAAACATTTTGTTATATTAAGGAGCAAAGTTGGTCGGAATTAAAGAATGAGTCAACTGACCAAAGATCAGGGTCACTGGGTTAATGATCAAGGTCATTTGGGTCCAAAGGTCAAAGACAAAGTGGATCTCTGACTTTGACCCTGGCTCTTGATGGAGGAGGTTTATAAGGTGAAATAAAACAAATCAAAGCTGACAAATGAGTACAGTACTGGTATTTACATTTCTGTTAGCCCAGCAAATATGGAGGTGGAAGGAAACAAGACTCACATCATAGTACATGTAAAATGTATATTTTGCTTCCTTGCGATTCTTTTTGAAGTCCAAATGTCAAACGTCAAGCTCAGCTATATTGGCAGATTGCTTCTTGATGATTATGGGGGATATATTTCCACAAGACGGGGCCCTTACTGACCTGTCAGTGTTCTAGTTTTCACAGCAATAGATTAATAGTGTTTTTCAACCACAATAAAAATATTGCATGAATCAGAGAAATACTAATTTGTAACATTAGGTGCCTATGAAGATGGGCATTTAATCTGAATTTATCCTGATTATGTCATTGAAAATGTGTTAAGAGTTGTGTTAAAAAGGATGGAAAGTAATTGTGACAGAAAAAAAAGATTTTATTGACACATGTTTACTGTCAGATGGAGAAATAAAGTGCTTACATTTCTAGATTGAATATAATTCATAACATTTAAATATGATCTTTAAGTCAATCTGACCATATCAGTAAAACCATAGTGGATGAGCTATTCAGGCCCCTGTGCCTCTTGACGTTCAAGTAAAAACTTTGCCTGTAGTTTGCTTGTATGGAAGTCTGTCCAGTTCTTACAAGGTTACAGATGTCAAATGTCTTTTTTTTAAACACAAAATGTCTAGAGTTAGGTGACCAATTAAGGCTGAGGAATCTGATCTCTTGTTAACCTGCACTTAATGTAAAATTAAATTCAAATTTTAACTCCATTAAAAAAATAAAGCAATTCCTGTACATATAAATATGGAGAATAATAGCAGGATTATTTGTTCTTTTGCAGATATTTGGGTTTCTGAACATGGTAGTTTGGGGAGGAAACCTATGGTTTCTGTACAAGGAGACACCCTGGTTCAAGGTGCAATCTAAACCCCCTACCACTCCCACCCAGAGCCAGGACACTGACCCCCAAAGGATCTAAGACAAGGGAGACTGAACAAAAGGATCCAGCGAGCTAACATTGTAAAGGGTTGATTGGATTGTTGTGAATGATAGGATGATGAAAATGATTTAACTAAAGGAGAATAAATTGTAAACAAGCTTCTCGAGACAACAAATTGTATGAAACAGACATTGTTAGCAAATAATGAAGCTTGACTATTCAGTGTTCACAAAGATCATGTTTACTGTTGAATATCACAGAAAAAATATAACTGATAAAAGGGTAAAGCGAATTACGATAGGGATACAGGCAAATGAAATGATTGTCATTGCACAAGACAACGCTAAAGATTCCTGACATGAGTCGAGAACACTTATAATTCCATAATCTTTGTGTTAGTGATGGTACGACTGTTTGCTTAGATCTGATATTTTAGAGATGATTGTTGTAAATTGTATAGCTGCAATATTAGATAATTCAGTCTATGTTAGTTTTAAACAAAGATTAAAGGAAATAATATTTATGTGAGTTTGCAATCAAAATATAGCTAAAGTTAGATCATTTCTGTAACTAATTAACACCAGAACAACTTTTTAGATATTGCACCTTTAATACAAGCGCAAATCTCATGAGCTTGTGTCTTAATCTGTTATCCCATAGAGATGCGGAAGAAAAACATACAAAAAGGGTAGGTAACAGAGTTGACAGAAGTCCATACAACAGCTGTATTAACTAGTTCACCCCTAAAGTCACATTTGAATCTTACCAAATCAAAGACTGGGCAAGTCCAGTTTAGATATGTAGGGGTGAATGAGTTAAGGTAACTAAAGAGTTAACAAGCATTTCTGCTTTCATTCAGATAACAATGTATAGTGTTGGTTAAGAGAAAGGCGGACAAAGGTTAGGATTTCAAATTGTTGATTACATCTAGATGGCCTGAAATGTCATCTGTGCCATATTGATATGTGCAAAATGGTGTCAATGCTGTGAAATGACAAGTATTTTTTAAAGTATTTGTCATCAGGTTTAGATCTTGAATCAAGAATATTTGTCTGTGTTTTTGCAAGACTTTTTACTTGTCGGTAGGTGTGCATCGATCTGAATAACATGCTGTAAGTGCTATTTGTTGTTGCAGTCCTGTTTCTTTATTAAATCAATTATGCGAGGTGATAGTTGGTAGTTAAAGACAGAAGTAGGTATATTCATATTTGTAAATCCTCGGTTTGTATTCCCATTCACTCCAATTATGTACCAGAAAAACTTTTTTGCTTGAACAGAAGAGTTGAAAAATGGATAAAAAATGGTCCACTAGTATACAAAAATACTGGAATCTGTGTTAATTTTGGACTTGAAAAAAGTGCTACTGCAAAGATTTTCAAAGACGCATAACATTAGAGGTAAAGCCCGCTTTGTATTTTATAGAATATAAGCTCAAGTCTGGGTCTTCAAGCTGCAGACCCCTGCTAGATGGAAACAAGAAAGTATTCGTATCGATTTGGTAAAAACTATTGCTTTGACATGCTTCATCCCAGATGATCCAACAAGTTATTGGCTCTGTTCTCAGGAACTCCTACTGGAGATTTCCAGTGACCAGACATATCCTCCCTGAACCCTGAAGGATTCCACATTTCTATGGTCTTAAGATGTCTATGGTCTTTAGATGTCGTTGGTTCATTGTTCTTTCAATCATATGCAAGCTTTACATATATTTTCTAACATCTCATACGATGAGTAAGCAACGATTTCTAGTTTGATAAAAAGAGTTTTAGAGTTTGTTGAAAATGAAATCAGCTTGTATAAAAGTTTGAATAATTGTTGTTTTATTAAGATTTTGATTAAGTTTTTCTTCTGTTTTTATTTTCTCTCTGTTTTTTCCCTCCACATTGTTAAGGTATTTGAGATAGTTTATCATTAACTGTCTTGTTGGGTACAAGTTTATGATTGTTAATTGTCTTAATTAGTTAGAGTTATTATCATGATAATTAATTGTCTTTTTAAGTAAAGTTACAGTGTGTATTATGATTATGCTAGTTGGCCTTTTCACACATCATATGTATAATATCTGGTGTTTGTCTTAAAGTGATATGCTACCTTGCATATTACACCTGCGATTGTGTTGAAGTTATCTCCCTTGATTTTCGTAGGATTATTTAATAATTCAAAATTATTAAGTGTAAGTATATGCACATTTGTATTTTTGTGTAGCATTTATAAGTGTGGTCATTTAAATAATCCAAATCCAAATAATCGTTCATCAGTAATATTTTACAGGTTTTCTTGTAAGTGTGAAACTCTTTTTTTTTTCTTTTTTTCTTTTCTTTCCGAAAACGATACATGCCCAAGTAGGGTAGCCTATATCAAGTCACAGTAAGGTGGTCTATATTGGTAAAAAAACAAAACAGAATGAGGCTTAATAATCTACTCAGTCTCTCTTGTGTATATATCTTGCATAAAAAAGTCTTTTTGAACATTTGAAATTTGTGATATTTTGTGAAATACCATCTGACCATTTTCTCACTGTACAATGTATGAGATTCATGCTATTCCTGTATATAGTCTAAACACCATGCTTATTGAAACAGATTCTAGTGGTGGAGACTTACAAATATGCAGATTTGATTATGTCCCACAATACGTTTCCTACCTTGATTGTTGTATGCTGCTCTGTTCGAGTGTAACTATATGAGCCTATGAGTAACTGCATTGTGGGTAATTTACTGAATGGTGTGTAGATGAATTTCGTATGCTAGTGTACATAATCTGTTCTTGTGGAAGTGTAAATTTTTGTCAATAGCAGGAATTATCTGTGTATATGTATTTATATTTATATTAACCACATACAGGTGCCTCACTGTGTAACTACAGGTGTCGTCTAACATTATACTTTATTACTGTGCTGTATATATACTGCGCCTCACTGTTTCTTGGTGTCGACTAACTTTGTGTTTTATTTCTGTTTTCTATGCCTCTTTCCTGACAAGAGGTAATGATCTGTATTATTTCAGTGCTGTATATTTTCTGCATTCTTTACCTTTACCTCTGGGTTTCCACATGTAATTTAGAGGGAATACCGTGGAGTAATAACTGGAAATATTTGTATGTGTAGCTGTGTTAGATTATAAGATATGCAAATTTTTTTAATGACCACTGTGTTTACATTACAGGATGGATTCAAAATTTGATCATGTATAATTAAGAAAAATGTAAAACAGATAATCAAGGTTTTTCCAATTTCTTACCTGTATATTAACAAAGTTTAAAGGATCTGCATTTGTCTTATTGTTTTGTACTGTGGATTCCTTTTCTGCCATTTAAGGAATTTATTATAATGGTATGCGGAATCTCTCTTATATTAATGAAATATTGGCTATTTTGATTATTGAACCTAACTCTATTAAGAAATTTCTTTACATAAATATTTTGAAAACGTTGCATAATAATTTTAATGTAAATACAATTCAAAAATATACCAGTAAGGTATAATTAATTATTTTGTCTCTTAATTGTGCACTTTAGCGTTTTTTCAGTCATTTGGCGGTCCATGACCCAGAAAATACTTTCAACTTGAAAATTTATATATTTTTCACTATGTCATTAAGATATAGGAAAACGACCATTCCATTAATGTAGTAAATTTCTAGATTAGAATTTTTGTGATGGGTAAAATAGAAACACCGTGTACATGCATTGTGATTGAAGTAGGTGTGTATAGAAAAATATTATTGNCACATAGTTTTACTGAGTGGTGAACACATAGTTTTACTGAGTGATGAACACTTTAGTTTTACTGAGTGGTGAACACAGTTTTACTGAGTGATGAACACATATTTTTACTGAGTGGTGAACACATAGTTTTACTGAGTGATGAACACTTTAGTTTTACTGAGTGGTGAACACATAGTTTTACTGAGTGATGAACACTTTAGTTTTACTGAGTGATGAACACTTTAGTTTTACTGAGTGATGAACACTTGAGTTTTACTGAGTGGTGAACACATAGTTTTACTGAGTGGTTAACACTTTAGTTTTACTGAGTGATGAACACTTTAGTTTTACTGAGTGATGAACACTTTAGTTTTACTGAGTGATGAACACTTTAGTTTTACTGAGTGATGAACACTTTAGTTTTACTGAGTGGTGAACACTTAATTTTACTGAGTGATGAACACTTTAGTTTTACTGAGTGATGAACACTTTAGTTTTACTGAGTGATGAACACTTTAGTTTTACTGAGTGATGAACACTTTAGTTTTACTGAGTGATGAACACTTTAGTTTTACTGAGTGATGAACACTTTAGTTTTACTGAGTGATGAACACTTTAGTTTTACTGAGTGATGAACACTTTAGTTTTACTGAGTGATGAACACTTTAGTTTTACTGAGTGATGAACACTTTAGTTTTACTGAGTGATGAACACTTTAGTTTTACTGAGTGATGAACACTTTAGTTTTACTGAGTGATGAACACTTTAGTTTTACTGAGTGGTGAACACATAGTTTTACTGAGTGGTTAACACTTTAGTTTTACTGAGTGGTTAACACTTTAGTTTTACTGAGTGGTGAACACATAGTTTTATGGACTGATGAATACATTAATAAGGTAGTTATTTGAATGATGAATACACTTCATGTATTCCACTGGTAGTTTTTGAAGAAACCTCGCCCAATAACATCAGCATGTACATTACTACTAAATAGAGTTCTAAAAACTTAATCAGATGCAGCTATTCTAGCTTACTAATTATGAAGTAGACATATTTAATAAATTATGACCATGGGCTACTTCTTAAAGACCAGGTAAACCAACTAATGTTTGTAAACTCGTGTTTGGCATATATATCAAAATATCCAGTGACTTTCCTTGTAGAGATCTGATGGTAAAAAATCTAGTGATCTGATCATGATGGCTAAGTAGGCTTAGGAGTTCTGTTTCATTGTTTGTGTGGTAAGTGCTAAACTTGAGTCCTTTGTTACGTTATCAATTCAAATACAAGTTCATGTCATTCAGGAATGTGTTTATTTTAAAGATGGAAAGTAGAAATGCATTCCTGTAAGCTTTAATTTTATTTTGGCGTGCCCTGAAGTATACAAGTACTTAGGTTTTACACATTAGAAGCCAGTCTGAAGGTTATTATTTATATTATTACATCACTTGTATTACACATGATACCATTTGTATAACTTTTATGTTTTCTGAAAGAAGAAATCACTTCATTGGATGTATGGGCAGTGAACATATGTAAGTAATGTGTTGTCAATGTTAAATCTCAGTTCTCCCAGTGATGTTGATCGTATACAACTCAGCAAATCCTCAGATTCAACTTTGTTTGTTACGTAAAACAGCTGGCTGGTCAGGTCAAGCATGCTTTGTTTCTTAACTCGGCTGACTAGCTAAATCAAACTTGTTTTTTGGTAAAACATTGCTGACTGGTCAAATAACCTGGTAGCCTTCTTATTTTTTCGTACCTCAGCTTAATTGTCATATTTACCTATCAAGTTTGTCTATTGATTAAATCAGTTGGCTGGTCAGATTTAGTTTGGTGTGTTATATAACTCAGCTGACTGGTCAGATTTAGCTTGGTGTGTTACGTAACATTGCTGACTGGTCAGATTTAGTTTGGTGTGTTACGTAACGTTGCTGACTGGTCAGATTTAGTTTGGTGTGTTATATATATAACTCAGCTGACTGGTCAGATTTAGTTTGGTGTGTTACGTAACTCAGTTGACTGGTCAGATTTAGTTTGGTGTGTTACGTAACTCAGCTGACTGGTCAGATTTAGTTTGGTGTGTTATATAACTCAGTTGACTGGTCAGATTTAGTTTGGTGTGTTACGTAACTCAGTTGGCTGGTCAGATTTAGTTTAGTTTGTTACGTAACTCAGCTGACTGGTCAGATTTAGTTTGGTGTGTTACGTAACTAGTTGACTGGTGAGATTTAGCTTGGTTTGTTACGTAACTCAGCTGACTGGTCAGATTTAGTTTGGTGTGTTATATAACTCAGCTGACTGGTCAGATTTAGTTTGGTGAGTTGCGTAACTCAGCTGACTGGTCAGATTTAGCTTGGTTTGTTACGTAACTCAGCTGACTGGTCAGATTTACTTTGGTGTGTTACGTAACTCAATTGACTGGTCAGATTTAGTTTGGTGTGTTATATAACTCAGCCGACTGGTCAGATTAGCTTGGTTTGTTCCGTAACTCAGTTGACTTGTGAGATTTAGCCTCGTTTGTTACGTAACTCAGCCGACTGATCAGATTAGCTTGGTTTGTTCCGTAACTCAGTTGACTTGTGAGATTTAGCTTTGTTTGTTATGTAACTCAGCCGACTGGTCAGATTAGCTTGGTTTGTTCCGTAACTCAGCCGACTGGTCAGATTAGCTTGGTTTGTTCCGTAAGTCAGTTGACTGGTGAGATTTAGCTTGGTTTGTTACGTAACTCGGCTAACTCGTGAGATTTAGCTTGGTTTATTACGTAACTCGGCTGGCTGGTGAGATTTAGCTTGGTTTGTTACATAACTCAGCTGACTGGTGAGATTTATCTTGGTTTGTTACTGAACTCAGCTGACTGGTGAGATTTAGCTTGGTTTGTTACGTAACTCAGCTAAGTGGTTACCGTAGATTTAGCTTGGTATAGTGTTTTTAAGCAGGGATTGTCATTATTGGTTGTGTAATGTTAACGTTGAAGTGATATCAGCATCTATTCACTGGTGGTTGTAATATATGCCTTCTGTAATAAAGTTTTGTATTTAAGAAAGAAGAATGTTTTGTTATGAATCTGCATTTACTAAATTTGTTTCGTCAAACTTTTTCTTGCGGCCAGTGAGGAAAATATTTATTAAAAAAATGCTACTTTCCTCAAGAACATGAGGCCCAATGGGCCTGAATCGCTCCCCTGGTATTAATCTCACTCTTGTAATCTTAAAAGTGGACTAAAATACAACTACAGGCAGAATATCAGTGTTTGATAAATAAGAACCCATTAAACAGAGTTTATAGTCTTTCAACCCAGCATGCTTCTAGCAAAATAGCATTACCCTGGACCTTTTGGTTGTACAGAACAAATCATTTAAAGATTTAAACATATATTGACCACTGTGACCTTGAATATATGTGAAGGTAATTCATTTGAACAAACTTAATAGCCCTTCATCCCAGCATGTAAATGGTCAAATATCATCATCCATGGTCTTTTGCTTATTAAGAAGTCATGCAAAGGTGTTAAACACATTTGACCCCTGTGACCTTAAATATAAGTCAAGGTCATTCATTTGAACAAACTTGGTAGCCCTTTATCCCAGCATTCTTTTGGCCAAATATCATCACCCTAGTCCTTTTGGTTACTGAGAAGAAGTTGTTTAAAGTAAAAAAGTTGACGCAGGACAGATGCCTGACGCCACACCATGCCATAAGCTTCGGACCAGGTGAGCTAAAAATACAAAATATATAAATGTGCTACAAACTATATATCATTATCCTACGATTCCTGTTTACTAAGTAGTCCTTTAACAGGTCAATCACGTTTGACCCCCCTGACCTTGAAAAAGGTTCAATGAATTCAACTGATTCCTGCATCCATGCCACACTACTAGCAGAACCTCATCACCCTAGACTGATTGAATAGAAGAAATTATATAAACAGATTTGACCAATGTGACATTAAAAGAAGGTTTAAATTAAAATGAAATAGGTATTTTTAAAATAGCACTTTGTCTGGACCATGAGTCGATCATTCCTACAAAGTTTCAGTTCAATTGGCCTAGCAGAACTTGACTTTAAGTTCAAAATAGTTTTTCAAAATGGCGTCCGTGGTTGCCATATTGGATTTCTGATTGACCCGAAAAATAACAACACTTTGTCAGGACAATAAGTGGATCATTCCTACCAAGTTTCATTTAAATCGGCCCATTAGAATTTGGCTTTAAGTTTGAAATAGTTTTTCAAAATGGCGGCCGTGGCGGCCATATTGAATTTCTGATCGGCCCAAAAAATAACAACACTTTGTCAGGACCATGAGTCGATCACTCCTATTAAGTTTCAGTTCAATCGGCCAAGTAGAACTTGACTTTAAGTTTGAAATAGTTTTTCAAAATGGTGGCCATGACAGCCATATTGGATTTCTTATTGACCCGAAAAAT